GCAGCGATTCTAACAAGCTAAAATTCATCAAAATCAGATTTGTAGATCAGTGAAAAATCGATAGATAAGATCATATTGATCATATAAAATAAGTCTAACCAATTTTTTATATGAATGGGAATCGCTATCCTATCTCAGTTGGTAATTTTTATATTAATTCTTTTATCATTCTATTATTTATTAAATAATGATTTTAACTATTCTTTTAAAATAATTCTTCTATTATACTATCAGAATGATTTTTCTATTATTCTATCAAAATAAATCTTCTATTATTCAATTAGAACAATTAATGATCTATTCGAAACCTATTTTAACGTGTAGCTTAAAAATTTAGAAACTGTTTTAAAATGATTTTTTTTAAATCTAAAACTTGATGAAACCTAATTGAGTTTAGGAAAACCTATTAGAAGTTTAGGTAAAGATATTTATTATAAATAAATAGTTTTATCTCAAAAATCTTGAAACCCAAATTTTCTAAAAATAGTTTAGGGAGGCATCTTTAGAAATGATGATTTTAATCATTCTTTTAGAACAATTTTTTATTATTCTATTTGAATAATCCTTCTATTATTTTTTTATAATAATTTTTTATTGTTGAAAGATAAATTTGTGAAACTCTTAATGAATCATAAATATTTAGTGAAACTCTAGAGAATTTTAATTCTTTAAGTATATCTTTTGTAAAAACAAATGACTAAATGACAAATGATATTAAATGATCTTAAATATCCTTGATCATTTATCATTTGTTATTTAGATCATTTGTGAAATGACAAGTGCTAAATAATTTATGATTATAATAAAGAAATAGATAAATCATTTAAGGTCAAATAACCAGATCATTACTAAACACTGTTGAATTTAATAATACTAAGAGTTTATTATTACCAGTAGTGATAGTATATAATTATTTATAACCTTATAAGTCAGTTACTGTAGCTTTAATAATATTTATTATTTATAGCATAAATGTCAAGAATTTCACACTTTTATAACAGTATGGATCTCACTATATATGAAGTCGAAATGGATCATTTCGGATATCCGAAATGGTCGAAATGGTCAAAATCATTTCGACCATTGAAGGCTAAAGTCATGAAATGATGTCATATGGGTAGTATTCTATTAAAATTGAGGTATGGATCATATGATTTACTATGTCTCATAACCCACTTTTAATAAATCAGCTCCCATATCATATGATTTTTCATATTGAGAAAAACAATAAACAAAAAATGTACGATCTCAGCCAATATCGTTCCGATTCGTATGAAACAACTACCATTAGAATTCTTGCGACTTGACGGATCCAATGAGCTAACATTCATTGATTTTGGATTATCCAATCGTGAGATAATCGCAATTGTATTATCGGCCGAAATTATGAATCAAGAAATTCTACTTTAAATAAAGGAGTCCGGATTTCGAAATACAATCGCGAATATCTTGAGATGGGCTGATCCAAAATCAAAAAAAATCAAAAAAACTCTCTCTTCCACAAACGTCCTGTTCACTAAAAAAGATCGACAAAAACAAAAATTATGCCAGTTACTAGAGCAACCTATTCTAAACAACAAATGCAAAATAATTATCAACGAAACAAATGAAATATCTCAGCTCATTTAACAACTCTGAAGCTTTAAGTTCTTCTTCAAATACAACAGAACTAAATGAAAATAATACTCTAACAAAATAACAGAAAATTTTGACACCTTCAAACGAAGATACTATCGATCCAGATATTGAAAAAATTATCCTCAACGTTTTGTCTAAAAGTAACAATGAAACTTCTTCTAAAAAAAAACTAATAATATAGAGAACAACGTCTTCTCTCCTGAAGTGCCCTTAGAAATGGATGTTGATACCACTTCTAATTTTACTCCTCCTCCACCTATTATTTCAAAACAAACAACAAACGACTCAATGCATGCTAATAACAACAAGAATCACATGTTCGAAGATACAGGCTTTGACTATATTCTCCCCATTGATACTAAAGGCAAACAAAACAAACTTGGTCTGAAGAAATTGAGCAAAATGAAGAAACACGTGACCAAGAAACTCAGGGGGTTTCATTCAACGTTATTACTGCTCCTACGTGATTTTATGTGACAGATAACGCGTCAAATATAAAAGGAAAATCTATAGCCAAAAATGTACATTCGTCAATTTCCTTTTTGTACGCTTCAATGGTTATCAAGGCTCTACTTACGTTTTCAAATTCAGAAAGTTCTCAGTCTATTTTCGATCAATGGAGGAACTAACACATGCTATTAAAAAGATACAGGAGACATAACATAACCCGATCTTCACTATTATTGACCCTGCAGAAAAAAAATCAAACAAAACGCTGAAAAAGAAGGATCCTTAAAGTATCAAACATTCCCTTATTCATTAAATCTGATGTGCTACGAAATTTCTTTGCTAAATACAGAACGATCACCAGATTCTCAATGATCATCAGAGACCCATGACAGATCGCATTCGTAGTATTCGAAAATGCTGACGTTATCAAACCATTCTATGATAAATACTGGTCCATCCAATTTTTAGACACCACATTCAGAGTAGAACCAACTGATCTTAACCCGTTACAAACTGCATTATGTCAACAATTTAAGTTAAAATTTACAGTTCTGTCTTTTAATACAGACTAACAACAACTTAGCGATTTTCTTACACACATCAATGCCAGATCATATTTTATTCCACGTGATCAATAATATTGATTAAAACCTTATACATTTGTTAATTTCGCTACCCTTGACAACCTAGATACTGCTGCTACGCAATCACAAAAATTTAAAGGAAAATTCTCTATTGGATAGAACCTGCTACCAAATATTGTTGAAGCTGTAGCGCGCTCAGTCATGAATTTAAAGACTGTAACAATCATAAAACTGCAAACTATTACAGACCACTATATGATTATTTAAACTGAAATATATCGTCCGCCAAAAAATAATAATTTCAACAGATCAAACAATAATACTTCATATGCTGATGCACTAAAAAATAATAATTCCAATTACAATAACCATTAATTATCACCCCCTAACCCAAATATCGTTGATATGTTAAAAGTCGTTCAGGAAAGACTCGATATTATTGATAACAAACTACTTACAATTAGTGATGAAATCGTATCTATCAAAAATGATCTACTTGTTATCCAACAAAATGAAGAGGATATTGGCTTTCGTTTAAATCGTCTTGAAATAATGTATAACATTGAATACGATGTGAAGCATGTCACTGACCCCAATTATGTTTTCCCATCGCATGATGAATATTTAATGTTGAAAGATACTACTCTACCTATAGAAATTACCCAATCAATTTTTAACGACAATGAACAAAATAACCCAAAAACTTCTACCAATGATAATCTTCAATTAATTAATATAGTCGAAACATCAGTTAATGATATCAAAACAGAAATGAGAAATTTGATTGCCACCATCAGCCCCATAATTTAATCGTTTACCATTCCCAAATGATATTATGACCTCATCTCACCAATAATAATGGAACGTCTTCAACGATTCCAATGAATAATAATAATTATACTAACGCAAATTTATTATCATATATTAACAATCCTAACTTACTTTCAATTGCAACCCATAATGTAAGAAGCTGTATTTCTTCAGACTGTCTCCAACAAGTAGAACAATTTTTTATAAACTTTAATCTAGATATTTTCGGTTTAAGTGAAACTCACCTTACCTACCTACAAGCTAGAAATCAATCAAAATTTTCATAATAAGCACTATAAATTCTTTTTTTATAGTTCAAACCATTTCCAAAATTGTCAAGGAGTAGGTCTAATTATTAGAAATAACCTTTGTTCACATCTTTTTAATCAAGGCTCCTTCTTCGATTGTATATTATATTTAGACTTCCAATTCAAAAACAAATTTAAACTACATGTTTTTCAAATTTACCTTCCCACCAGTTTTCATGACAAAAAATTATTTCAACATTAAATCCAAATTCAAACTAAACTAATGGATCGTTTGGTTCAGAGCCGAAGAAACAACTTTCATATTATTCTAATAGGCAATTTTAACATTGATATTTCAAAAACCTATAAATCAAAATGCAAACGAACCTTACAAAACTTCTTACATAATATCATTAATCTCAGATTCCTACATAATATTTCTCCTTTCAATCAATCTTTCCCTCCTACTTTCAAATCAACTTCTATATCTTACTCTTTTCACATTGATTATATATTTGTCTCATCTTCCCTAGCTTATGATATTGTTTCTTTTGATATACTTAACGATTCTTCCTTTCTATACTTGACGGATCATTTTCCTCTTCTCATATCACTTTACAAAAATAATTTCTTTAATCAGTCATCAAATGCTTACTCCAAACAACATAAAGTTACAAAGAAAAATTTTCTTTTCAATAAGACCACTCTTCTTCAATGGGATCTCTTCACTGATAAAATGGATCTTATTCTGAAGACTGACCCAAAATTCAAAAACAGCACAACACATGATTTTTGTAATTCTCAGAATGCCCTTAATGCTGCCTGGGATTTTTTACCAACACTGTCTTAACATCCACAAAAAAGCATTTACCTAAACAAATGACTACTTCTCATCATAATTCTTTATTCTCCTGCTCAAATTCTTCTATTCACAAACAAATCAATAAGTTATACAAAATCTATTACAAGTTAAAAAATCACTTCTCCAACCATATTTTTCAACTTTCTCCTTTTCAATCTCGCCCGATGAACACAAATCCTTATTAATGATCACTTTTCAAATAATCACCCATTAAATTATTTACATGAACTAAAAACAGATATTATCAAACCCATGTAAGCTAAACAACGTATTGTTTCTCATAATGAAAACAATGAAAGAATTTTAGAATTTATCAAACAAAGGAATGAAAACTTTAAAAATTCTCTCACTAAAATGATAGATTCATGTCTTGAAAGAAATAGGAAAGCCATCATTCTTGATAAAGTCATGGTCAATGCAGATACGACTTCACAATATCTCGCTGTTGTTCCTGAAGATATTAAAGCCTATGCAGCAACACATTTTCAAACTATTGCTGGCTCTACAAATAAAATTGTTACAGATCAAAGTTCACACAATTTTAACCCAAATTGGAATGAATGGCAATGCTACTATGAGCCAGTTGATAATATTAGTGATGAATTTTACAAGGAAATCATGGACATCCCTACGTATGATGAGTGGTTATTTATTATTAAATATCTACCTGATTATAAAGCTCCTGACCCTTCTCAAATACCAAATAAAATGTTGAAAAACTAGGCCCTAGAATGAATAAATTTTTGTATACTATCATCAGTGCCTGTTTTGTCAGTTCACAGACACCTACACAATAGAATTTAGCATATGTGTACCCAATTCCTAAGCCCAAAGCTTGGAATTGCAATTTAGATAATACACGTCCTAGACATATTAGAAAAGCATTTGTTAAGATTCTAAATCAAAGACTACAGGACGTATTCATTAAACACAACATACTTAAAGGTCTCAATTTTGCAGGTTTACCACATCAATCAACAATGGAACCATTACATATTATTAACAACATTCTTGAATTTTACCGCCTAAATATTAAAATGAACAAGTCCAGCCGTTCAAATTTATATATGCTTTTTCAAAATATGTCAAAAGCCTACAATAGAGTCAATATCTTTATGTTACGAAAAGCATTGAAACGATTAAAAATTCCCTTACTATTCACTAATATTATCACTAACCTCTTTTTAAACAGAAAGAACTCCGATTCACAGCATATAGCAACACTAATTCGTATAATATCATTGTTGAAATTGATCAAGGTGAGGTTATCTCTTCTTTGCTCTGGATAATTTACTATAATCCCCTCTTGTCACGAATTAAAAACTCTTCACTAGGATATAAAATGTCAGTGTCATGAAAACCGGACATCACCAAAACAGAGACCTCAAAAATCTCTGCTTATATTCCTAACTCAGCATATATGGACGACATAATCTGGGTTACTAACAATCTATCGAATTTGACTGCTATCTTTGACATTGCTCAATCCTTCTTTGACTTCAACTCGATGAAAGTTAATCACGACAAGTCCTTCATCTTAACAAACGAGGCAACTGACGTAAATATTTCAATATATAGTAAATTTCTAAATCAGCCTATTTCTTTTCCAACAAAAAAACCTTCAGAATCAACTAGATGTTTAGGTGTATATATCTTAGCAAAATATAACAAAACTTTCATCAAACAACAAATACAAAATGAAATCACAGAGTTCATTTTAAAACTCAAATATAAACCATTGACTGATAAACAACTAAAATACATCTTTAACATGGTTTTAATTCCTAGGGTTGAATATTATTCACAATTAGTTATTTTATCACCTAAAGAATGCAATGCTCTATTCACCAAAGTTAGGATTTTCCTTAAACACAAACTCAAATTTCCAAAGTCAACACCTAACAGTATGCTAACCAGCAAACTGACAAATGGTTTCAACGATCTTGCAGCAAATATGATACATTCCAAACTACAACACTTCGCTAACATGATAAATAGTGATTCATCCCTATCACTCCTCACGAAGACTACTGAAATTAGACTCAAATAACTTCAAGAATTTTTTTGACTTTACGACAACCCTTTGATTTGTTAGCCTACTTCTCTGAACAAATTTCGTCATGACAACTTTCTTGGCAACATAATTTCTTTTTATTTACAATCAAATTTATCATTTTCAAACATGTCAGCAAACAATTCTAAATTCAGTATAAAAGAGGGCAAAACTTCACTACAAAACGTTATCCCTTGAAAAAAAGAGGATAAATTCATTACGATACAAATCCGATGCCATCCAAAATCCCGAAACTCAAAATCCCAAAATCCAAAATCCTGACAGATTCAAAATCCCAACAGGTCAAAATCCCAACAGGTATAAAATCCCAACAGACACAAAATCCCGACAGGTACGAAATTGGTTCATATTAAGCTTTAATACTGTCTGAAATTAAGTTTTGGGATTTTTTCAGGTTCTGAGTTTCGAACAGGTGGATTTTTTTCAAATATAATATATAGTTAAACTTTATTAGTCTAGAATTAAGTCATGTGATCCTTCGTAAATTCTCGTTCTATACCCTTTATTTTATTTCACATGCCATATTTCTGTTCTATTTATTCATTACATTATTCTATTTTAATTAATGTTATATTTAATTACATTTTATGATATACTATATTTAAGTATTCTATTTTTTTATTAATTTTTGATATTACGAAAGCTGTGATTTCATGTTATTTATTAAACATATCTTCGAATTGTTATTACATTTTTTAAACAATTAAATAAAATACCCCCTACATTATAACAGGTAAACTCATATTGCCAAAAAATGCAATTTTAAATGGCGTGGGTAAAATATTTCATCTTAAAAAAGTAATCCAGAATAATATAAACCATACAATAAATATAATTTAAATTAATAAACACTAAAATAGCATAAGCTGGTTTTTATCACATGTTACACGATTTAAAAGGTAGATAATCATTCCCTCATTAGTATATTTATAGATAAATAAAGCGCCTTAATATATTTATAAAATATACTGCACATAATTACTGCGCGTAATTATAATAAATTCCCAATTTCGAAAGAAAACTTCTTATTTTTGCTTTCTCATTCTTTAATCATAAAAATATATTAGAAATGAAAAATTATGAAATATGTGATATTGTTCCATCCCAAAAAGAAAATAATAAAATAAATGTTCAAGGCTATTTAATGGTAAAAAAATGAACATGAAAGGATACATATTATTGGTGTTGTGAGAAAAGAAAACTAGATAATTGTAAGGGTCGTGCAGTAACAACTTTTCATAATAGGTCCCATTATCTTAAAAAATTTGTTGAACATGACCACTCACCACAACCTAGTAATGCAGAAGTTGCAAAAAATATCAGTCAAATCAAGCAGAAAGCTTGTACAACAAAAGATAAACCTATACAAATCATTCAAGATATTACTGTTAATATGTCACAAGAGTATTATCCCTACATGCTATCTTCTAATGCTCTTCGTTCAATAATTAAACGTATCAAAAGAGCAGAAATGCCTGCTGAACTACAAACCATTGAAGAAGTTAATATTCCAGATTCACTTTGTTTAACATTAAATGGCGATACTTCTTAATAAGGGACTGTGTAATTGGTAATGATCGAATTTTGCTATTTGCTACAAAAGCAAATATTCAACGCTTATC